GCGGCGGCGGCGCGGAGCCCGCTCGGGTCCCAGCGCCGCCGCGGGCCTCGGCGGGCGGCAGGAGGAGCAGAGAGCGCGGGAGGTACCTGTGTCAGGGAGAGGTGGGCGGCCATGCTGCTTCCATCATGCACCGGCCGGAGCGCAGGAAGGACGCGCCGCTCGCGGCCCAACTTCGGCAACTTCCCCAGCCGGCAGCGCGAGAAACCCGGCGCTGGATCACCGGCCGGAGCCGGAGCCTCCCTCCCTCCCTGCGGGGGCGGGCGGGCGTGGCAAACAAACCCGGCCGCCGCGCTCTGCCACGGAGACCGAGCCCGCTGTAGGCAGCGGCAGCAAAAACCCGGAACTGGAGTACGGCCTGATTGGGAGCGGACTTGCATTAGAGTGGTAAGATTCCTCCAGTAAAGTCGCCTTTTGTTTCCCAATTCCCAGACATCCATTAGTTCCCCGCCTTGGCTATATTTCTGCCCCATATCTTTAGCAGTAGGGGCTTCAGGCATTCTGAGCTGTTAGAGTCAGCCAGTTTGGGGTCCCACAGGTGGTCCCCGCGGGACGGGCTCATCTCACACATCCCTTCGCGTCTCAGCTGCAGGAGGAGCAGCCTGGGGTTTGGCCTCTTGCCTCTTCCAAGCGCTCTGCTCGTAGGAATGGATGTATGGATGCCACACCTGCCTAGGCCAGCACCGCTGGCACGTGTCTGTCTCTCTGTGTTCCGAATGGGAGAAAGAAAAGCACAAAAGGGGACAAACAACTCTTAGGAAAGGGGGGGAAATGCATGCTGCAGGTAAGGGGGAGCAAACTGGGGTGCAAGGCAAAAACTGCTCTGCCTTCTCACCCACGCAAAACAACGGTGTAAAAATGGCAGAAAGGGATATTCATGCCAGTGTTTTCTTTTGTTATTATTTACTGTTTCTAATTTTCTTGTTCTTGGAGCTCAGCTTCCCCCAGGCAAATCTCCCTTGGCCACAACAGAGCTGTGAGCAGCGGTACCGGCCGCGTCACCAGTAGTAGTTCACTGCCTAATTAAGCTGCTTTCCTGGCCTCCGTGCTCTACCCCTCCGTAGCTCAGTCCTTGACACTGGAGGGGAAACTTTCCCTTTCGTTTTCTTTACTTAGACAAAGAGGAATCCGTTTAAACTTGACATACACACTCAGGCGGATAAAAGGGAATTATCAGGAATCATAATTATTTATTGGAGAGGTTTCACAAGGTTTTTTTTTCTTTCTTTGTTCTTTGTTCTCTACCATTCTCCATTTGTCCCCCTTACACAGTTTCATGTTTATCCTCATGCTCATGTCCCACTTTGGTGTCCTGCCATCCCTCAGCAGGCAGGCACTGAGAACTGCTATTCCTGCAACATGAAGGCTGCATCTTTCCCACCCATCCCCTAATAAAGATTTTACAGAAACCCTGACCTGTTTCTCAGTCACAGGTTCAGCAATAAAAAGCAGATATCAAGAGAAGGAAAGAATATAAAAAGCAGGCAATATAGATATAAAAGTGTTTCCACTGTTCACATATTCATCACTGTCACACCTCTGCTCCACCTCACACACAACTCCTCCTAAGCAAAATTCTAGAAAAGAGCATAGACTATTATATTTCTTTTTTTTTCCCTTTGATTAAAATTGGAAAATTGCTATCCCGCAATAATTAGTATCTAGAAATTAAACCGGGAGATGATAAAACTAGAGCTGTGTCTCCTGGGGACAGCAATATTTGATCCTGCTCGCACTTGAGAGGGAGCCCCTCAGGAGAGGTTTGAAGGACTTGGTTTCCCACTAATTGCCGTCAACTCTTGTAGATGCCTTTTGCTCTGTCAGTTGGATTCCCCCACTCTCCATCTCCATCTCCTGTCCCTGGGTGAGGAGAAGGGCTACAATTTGGTAACAGGCTCACAGCCGAGATGAAAGGTTACCCCAGATCCCACAACATTGCAAATGGATGGAAAATGCAAAGCAGAGTAATGGGACCTAGCTCTGGAGTTCGGAGGATGCTGGATTTGGGGATTGGGGTGAAGGAGTAAAGGTATTTATTGTGAAAGACTTGAGTGTACACTGTCTGAAAGGCCAAACCACTGACTTTCATGGCAACAAAGAGGTTCTAGAATGATAAGTGAGATATATAAAGAAAAGGGAAAATACCTGCTTGCTTGTAAAGGTCAGAGAAAGAAGGAAGTTGAGAGTCTCATTATCAAGTCAAGGCAAAAATAGCAGCAGTGAAGATACCCAACAGTCAAGAGAAGGCAACTGCTCATCCTGCTCCCTAAGACTGCAAAGAGCAGAGCAGTTTAGTGGTCCAGGGAACATTTGTCATGGTGCTGTTGAGCAGGGCCAGCAGCCTGAGCTGGGTTGCTGTTGGGAGCTACTGGGCATTGTGTAGGGCCTCAAACACCATCCCGGCAGCAGCAGATATGTGGTTATTCACCCCCCTCCAGTACAGATAGTGAGCTTGGGTCCTCTAAGAGATGAACAGACTGGAAGAACACGTGGGCATCTTGCATATGGGTGCTGTGTCCAGAGGCAGAGCACAAGGATTGTTCAAGGTTACATAACATTTGTGGCCAGTCGGCACTGGAATGGTGTGTTCAGATGGGTCTTTGTCATTTGTCAGGTGTCCTCTACCTCCAGCAGACAGTATTGTCCTGGATGCCACCATCTACTTGAAATAAAACGGCTGCCCCGTGGCCTCAGATATCTCTGTAATAATTACCACAGTTGTCAGCTTGCTGACAATACAGTGTTGTAATGCGGATTTATAGGAATTTGGCATGACACTCCCAAGAGGAGATATCCATCTGCTTCCAGCCTGCAGTGGAAATTGCATCTGCTGACACTGGACCATAAAAATGGGCTTCCTACTTTGAAATCAGTAACCCATGACTGATTTTCTTGCCAAGAGAACAGTTAGGACTACTAGAACTCACCCCAAGTCTTCAGCAGCTTTGATTTTATTAGTTTATTTAGCATTTAGTTATTCTTTTTTATCATTTACAGTTACCAGTTTCTTGGCATAGCAAAGAGCAACTCACTGGGACTTGGCCAGGATGAAAGAACTCCTGAAATCTGAACCTGGGGAAGCTGATAAATGGACATCTCCTCGTGTTCACTTTTTGGTTGAAACCCTGTGTTTTTATCTCTTCTTCTGGCAGTCCTATGAATCTTGGCCTTTTGCTGTTGTCTCTCGTACCAAAACTTGAGCAGGTCTTGAAGGGGCTGGTAAGACTGTGTGTTGAGTGTTTAGGATAGCTTAAGAACATAGAAGAATCCAAAGGCTAATGAACCAGAGTAAAATCTTAATAAAGAGTTTCATTTTATATCTTTTCCCATTCGATATGAATTCTCCTGAAGGAAATCTGTAATCTGCACTGTAGTAACTGTTATATATTGATCTACCTGTTGTAAGGTCACTCAGTTCAGGACATTTTTTTGTGTCAAACGGACAATGGGAACAGTATTAGCTTGGTATTTTTGTAAGTAATAGCAAATTGTGTATGCTTCTAGGTATTAACACTGTGACAGACAGTTACCACATTTCAGTGCTTTTTATTATGTCTTTGTACAGTTCTCAAGGTTATTTGACACTGTACAAACAAGTGTTTAATAATAAATAAAAAGCAGCCAAATGCCTTATGAAAGAGTGGGTTTGCACCAGTGCAGCTACAACAGCAGCAGCATCACTGGGTCAGTGCAAATCCCCATTGTAGGATACTGCACAAATGACTTCTTCAGGTAGAGTTTGCTTGAATTTGAAACCTGTGCTATATCAAGACAGCAGAGAAAGGCATTGCACAACTGGGAACTAGATACTAATGTCCCCTGTGCTTTATTCTTCTCTTGTGTTCACCATATGGCTTTAATAAAGCTAGTAACTTTTTAATCAGATCCACTGGTCTCTCCAGAAACAGTATCTTAGGTGTCTATCCCTTTAATATAGTTTGGTTTACATCCTGGATGGACACGCAGGAAGCTCATTGTTTTTTCCTGAACAACACCTAGGTATTTGGTGTGACTTGTCCTGCTTGTTCTAGGAAAGTATTACTGCAGCCTGTGAATAAGCTCTCTAATGAGAGGCTCCTCAGAGCAGTGGCTCGCTCCTGCCTCCCGCGTACCTAGCCCTGAAATGACTTGCTCAGCTTTCTGGAATTTCAGTGTGAAGCAGATTAGCAGCTCCAGCATTGCAAATATGGGACTAAGGATCTAAACAGCAGAAGGATTAAGTCATAGGAAGACTTACAGAACAACAACTGAAAAAGAGCATCAGCACCAAACAACCCCAGTAAAAGGAATTGTTATTCCATGATCATGCAATGGAAGTGCAAGGGGACTCGCTCACAGGTGAGCAGAGACCATCTTATGCCACACAAAGCTGTGCTCCTGATACAAGTTTTACCACACTTAGCCTATTGGAAGCCCTTCTTAGAAATTAGGGAGATTGTTATACAAAACTTTGGCCCTTTGGACAGAAGGTATATTTTATTAAAAAGCTTAAGGCACCTGGACTGGGTGCCACAAATCGTTTTGGGGATCACAACTGCAGGTGTGTCTTTAACTAGTAATACATCTCAGGATGTGCTTCCTGTGCTCTTTACATTTTATGCAGCTGGAAGGAATGTAGGCTTATTGATAGACTGATGCATTTTACAGCCACAGGAGACCATTATGATGATCCAGCCTGATATTTTTTGTAGGATATTCCCATAGAGATCTGTTAATCTTCTGCATAAAGGCTGTCATATTTTTGAGTCCTATGGCATATCTTTTAGAACAGCATCTAATTACTGGAGAATGTGCAGTGATCATTATGGAAACTACATTTGAATGATAAATTTGCTAATTGCTTTTGTTCTGTGTATTTAGCTCCTTGTGTTCGTTTGCAGACTATCGGTGCTATAGCTGACATGAAGATGTTTTAAAATGAGTTCAGAGATAATCAAAATCATATAAAACAGTAGCAGTATCAAAGAAACACAGACTGGTAGGTTAAAGTATGTTTGCATTCTGAATTTAATTTCTTCATCTGTCAATCCTATATCCCAGAGAAATAGAGTACAGTAAGGAAGAACTGAAACAATGTAGTTTATATTGTGAGTATTCAGCATCCCAAAGGACAAGACTATTTTTGGACTCTCAGTAAAAATTTGAGTTTGATCTTTCTAATGACCAGATATCGGAAAGTCACAAAT